ATATATATATATATACGTATACATATATATTAAAATGCCATCAGCTTGGCTTATATATCATGATATTTTCATTATTCGTTTTTTTGTTTTAATGCATTCGCAAGATTGAAGTAAATTGTCGTAAAGTATAAGTATATACTCAAGTAATCGTAGAATACTTTTGATTGGTTCGTTGATAAAAGTGGTGGATCTCGAAATATGCTTGAGGGTGCATAATGTCTCATCAGTCTTCAGACACGCATACGTTTCTACTCTTTTTCTCTGTTTTTTTCCCCCTCCTCCTTTTTCTTTGTTCAGTTTTTACCCCGTATACTCTTCTGTGGAACTCATAATAAACAGAAAATCGGAGCATGAACACATGTATATGTACGTCCATATACTTCACATATATTATGTGTTTTGTGCGACACTATACTCGTAAAGAGTTGCTCTCTTTCTTCACATTCGTTCATCACTCATATACGATATATAACTGTATATACATATATGTATGTATATATATATGTATACGTAAAAATGCCTGTGCTTTTCTTTATCATGCTTCTCTTTCTCTCTATACTCTTTCTATTTCTCTCTTTCTCTCTCTCTCTCTTTCTGTTTCCAATGAAATGTCACATGTTACTTGACCCTATTCTTTATTACCGCTTTGAATGGTTATTTGTAAAAATGACGAAGATGATTCTCGACACATGTAAATAACATTAGAAACGTGAAGTTAGACATACGTAATTCGTAGGTGTCTCAAATTTTTTTTTTAATGCTGCCGATGTGTAGAAATTTGGCCGCGTGTTTTTAATTTTCTTTTTGCGGACGCTCTGTGATACATTTACAGTGTGTATCAGTTACGTACGTCACAAAATTTTGAAACGCCACGGTAACTCGAGACGATTATCATTGCGCAAACGAGCGTTTCGCATCAAATTTCACTTCACGTGCACAATACATGGGAAAATTTGTCCAATTCCGTCTCACGGGGAAAAGAAACGCGACAAAATGTATGCACAGGCGACGTATTTGTCTCGTTATTATGAATTAAATAGAAAATCTATTAATAGAGTTTTGACTGATAACTGCAGTAGAGATTTTTTATAATTGTTTTTTTTTTTTAATTTATATATTTTATCTTGTTACAATTCGATACCTTAATATGTTCCTGTTTGATCCTTTTATTCGTTTTTTGTATTATACCCTTGCTCGGACTACTTTTACGTCTGATCTTATCTACGTCCATTTGCTCTTATCTTTCGTCGTGTCTACTTTAAACTTTTATCCTGAATCGTGGAGAAACGGTAATATAATCTTTTTTCGATGGAAACCCAAATCTTCACGCGGAGATTGTTCAATGTGTACAGCAATGTGTATGTGTATGGAATATAATTCACCTGTTCGCGTTAGCATGCTCTCTACGCGCGGCAAAATGCAAAGTCGGGAGAGCCGTGTTTTTAGAGGTAGAAAGTACGTTAGCCGAGAGAGATGAATCAAAATGCATCCCTAGAAGCAAGCAAATTTAGAGAACCACCAAGAATGTGGTAACGTAATTGCCATGAAGCATGATTACCTTCCGACATTGAGACTAACTAATCGTCCAGTCGGTTCCACGTTTCCGGTACCGGTCTTCGGTAACCCATTTGTTCCCTGTTTTTGCACTCTTTCTTCGAAATTTAGACGGCGATTACTGCTTAATGGTCTCCTCGTAGTGTCAATGTTGGTAGAAAAACGTTTTACGTTATTTGCTATTTACGACGAGGCTATACGATACTTTTCACGTGTGCGGCATTCGGACTCATTTTTTCGCACGTGTTATCGCGTTATCGCAGATAAATTACGTCTCGTTGCTATTTCGACAATAAACATCTTTTTCGTGTGTTTATTATTTTGATCGTCATTCGGTAAACTCCTTCGCGAATATCATTTTAACGTTCCAGACTAAATTATAAGCGAGGAAATTGGCGCGATCGTGACATACTCATACGTTTGTCGCAAGACTCTTAACGTTCGTTCTTAGCGAACTACGGTAATCTATGACAAAAGTGATAGACAATACAGTAATGCTGTTGAAATAGTTGGACAGATTTTACAAATGTATCTAATCGATTTTGAGTCTGTGCATTATCGTCTCGTCTTGCCTGTGCATTCATTTCTAATCGACAGAATCTATAGAGAGCGGCGATAGAAACGACAGTCGTGGAAGTTAAAATGATAATCCGCTTCAAATTTTGTCTGGAAAATCACTATATCCAGTGTGTCGCCCTGTTATATGTAATTGCATAGTGTTTTTACTCTCTTCCCAGCAACAGGAGCAGGATCCCACCAATCTGTACATTGCCAATCTGCCGCTGAACTTCAAAGAGAACGATGTCGAGGCATTACTCGCTCAATATGGACAAGTTATCTCTACCCGTATCCTGCGCGACACTTCCGGCCAAAGCAAAGGAGTTGGATTCGCAAGGTTCGCACGAATTAAGTTCCGTGACAGTATTATTAGTGAATTCCTGATGGCTGCATTTGTTTCGCGCGACATTCGTTTTGCGTCAAGAGAGAATAGAACCTTGTGAAAATTCAGAGTTTTTATCTTTCGTCGCGTGTCTCGTATTTTTTAAATTATATTACTGTCGCGTCTCTCGATCTCAAATCATACACCAAAACTTACGAGTAATCCTGATGTTTTTGCGATTTCTGGCATTATAGAATGGAATCAAAGGAGAAGTGTGAACAGATCATCCAAATGTTTAACGGAAAGGCACTAACAGGCGCAAAGGATCCATTATTAGTTAAGTTCGCTGATGGTGGAAACAAAAAGAAATCGTTGTTTAAGAGTACAATATGGAGAGAGACAGGAGAGGTACGTAAAATTATGATATAGTAGTAATTATTATATATACAAATTTTATAAATAAATCTCAAAAGGTTTTTACTCTTAAACGATCTTTTTGCAAGGCGATTGAGGCTGTGTTAATGCAAATTTTCATTATTTTTATATATTCTTTTTCAGAATATGACTTTGAACTACGACACGAGCGGCGTTGGTCAGAACGGCGTTGCTACGACTCACATGCTTCCCGCGACGGCTCTGACACAGTACAGTCGTCACTACAGTCAGGCATTGCCTGGTTACAGTGTGCCAGGCACCCCTTGGGTGGCTCCTTACCTCGTGCATCCTTCCCCACCACATATGCAACAGGTTGACGTGAGTTTTTATACACTTTTCGTTCATTTTGTTTTCATTGCTTTGCACATAGGACAATAGAGAATGCTTTTGTATCGAATTTCGATCCGATAAATTAAGCGTACATACGTGACACACAAACTCTGTATATTTAACATTCAAATTTGAATACAAGATATTCAAGCTAAACTAACGCGTTGTCTCTTTGAAACTAGAATCCAATTGCACTTGTTCTAATTGCGTTGTTGGCGCGTTGTTACCATAATTGAAAAGTCTTGAGAGAAAGAAGAAACTTTAATTAAAACATCAGTATATATACGAAATTACTTAATTATTAAACCTATGATATGATATTGTAGATGATATTTTTTGCAAACGCACTTTTTGTTTATAATAAAATCGCATTCACTTTATGCTTTAGCTTTGTTATGAATTTTTGTATTTTTCGGATTTTTTTTTCATCATAATATCAACCACTTATTATTGCTTCCGCTTCATCATTGGACTTCGTCGATCTCTGTTACAGATGATACCGTCGGCCGATCCTAGTAATCCACAGTACAGTATGATTCCTCAGCTTACCACACAAATGTCCACCTTGCATCTTGGCACTGGTTCCGTAAGTTTTTTCTTGATTTTTTAATAAATTTCCCAGACACGAATCTCCGAAAGACGTCTCAATGTTTGACATTTAATGTAAATTGTTTAATAATATAGAAAGATATAGATCTAAATTTTTTGGAAATATTTAAGGCTCCAGAATGAATCCTCAAATATTTACATGTAATGTGTTAAAAATGCAGAAATTGCATACAAGTTAATGGAGACTCCAAAAATCAAGCTAAATCTTTATCTAGAATATTTCTCGGACATTTGTGTTTTTGGGGTGGATTGATTTGAGTTAACGATGATGACAATTGTCTTTATATTTCTTTTTCAGTACATAGCGAGCCCACATCCCTATCCTTATACAACTTATCCTGCTCCTAGCATTATTCACACCATGCCACTGGGCGAGTCGGAGCAGACGAGTAACGCAGCGTCCCCCGACGACTCCTATCAGCAGTACCAGGCTCAACAGCCTAAGTAGGCCACGGTTTATAATAGGTCAGGATTGTCTCTTACTCTTATGCCATATGATGCAATACTGTGCCGAACTACAAATCCCTTGGCTCGTAATAAAACGATAAAGGGATCTTTCGATTGCAGATGTACGATCGCGCTAAGGGTTACATGAATTAGGAAAGGCTTACCGATTGACACATGAAGATATGCGCAGAACGAAGGAGAGAGCAACAGATACGAGAGCGGATTACATTAAGAAGAATAGATTTGAAACAAAAACTACATTACGTAACGAATAAGATTCTTCCTCACGATAAATTGACTTGCCAGCGTTTTTATACGTTTTATCCAACAGTAAATAGAGGAAAGTAGATGATATTTTGCAACGAGTAGGCAGAGTGAATGTTGAGAGAATGTAAGAGTGAGAGAGAACGAGCGAGCGAGCGAGAGAAAGAAGAATATAATTGAAGGAAGTACAGGAAGACGAGTATGAGAGCAATCACGTGTCGTCCGCATAGAACGGCACGTGCTTCCATACTAGTATGGCTCCGTTAAAGCTATGTGACGGCAACACGTACACTCATGTACACACATACACATACACACACACACATATTCACAGAATGAGAGAGAGAGAGAGAGATACACATCATACACGACAGTAACGAAAAAACCAAGTTATTTACGAAGAACAGTTTAGTGTCAAGCTAATAGGCTTCCATGATATAACTTTAGGTATTATGTTTATTACGGACAGATGACAGAAGCTAATCGACGAGAGCTCGACAGTATGGATAAGTATTTTAATGAATGAGCGAAAGAGAGAATGTGTGTGTAGATGTTGTTTACTATAAAGAAAAACGAGGAAAGGAGAAGAAAAAGTAATACTGCTCAGAAATATACAAAGGAGAATTCTTCCCAAGGAAATAATAGTAAATAATAATAATATACAGCAAGAACGAGAGTACGAGAGAGAGAGAGAAGAGGAAAGTGAGAGTGAGAGAGAAAATGTGTGAAAGAGAAGAGAGAATGCACTACTTTCAGGACGATGTAATTGAGAGAAGAGATTCAGAGATTCGTAAATATGACTAGAAGGAGGAGGTGTTCGAAACTCGCGAAGATATTTGTCTACGGTCGAGATATGCACGTGAACAATTCATCTTCCACGACAGCGCACTTCACCTCATCCGTTTTCTCGCGTGCAGATTACATAAGATACACAAAACAGACACTTACCATTGCACCCTCATCAGAGTACGCGTGTCTTTCGCGAATTTTTTTCTTTTTTTTTTTCATTTTTTGCTTTTACATTCAAAAACATTCCAACCAGGTATATACGTGCACAGGCACGCGGAGGTATTTTTTTAAATCGGAAATAATACTGGTAATACATCAACTTTTCTAACGGCATCACGCGTCTCTATCGCGTTGCGAGTCCTTGTTTTTTTTTATCGACAATGAACTTTTATTAGATTAAATATCAGAGACAAAAATCAGAAAACGGATAATACGACGGTTTAATTTATTTCTAAAATGAACAAAGGGAGATATGCAATTTTCAGAATCTATGTATAATTATTGTACGAAAGACGGAAAGAAAAAATGAAACAATACTTTTTAGAGTGTTATATTTATGATGATTACAAGTTAGATACGGATCGATATCAATTTTTAATTGTACAGTGAATACAGATATTTTTTTTAGAATCGTGCCTTTTCACACAGATCCGTTAAACGAGAGAAAGAAAGAGAAAGAGAGAGAGAAAGATATATATGCAGGAGAAAATTGTTATAATATATTTTTACGCATCTTTAAATTCAGATGCGGAGTCAAATCTTAATTTTCTAATTAATATATCTGTAATTGTTTTTGTGTTGAATATCTCTATACATTTGTTTTCGTTGTCAATTTGATAGATTTTGTACGCGTGATTACATGCATTATCGAATTTGGAATTGTCGGACTGTATGAAAGAAAATGAAATAGACATCCACACACAGCATAAAAAACAGTCCGTAATATATAACAATAATAAAAAGAAAAAAAGAGAAAATCTAGGAAAATCAAATCGCGACAAGTCGAGAAACAGTGAGAGAGACAGAGAGAGAGAGAGAGAGTCAGAGAAAGAAAGGAAGAATGATTGAAAATGTGTCTGAACTAGAGAGAAAGAAAGAGAGATTTAAGAAAATGAAGAAAAATAGGTTTGTTACATGATGAGAAACTAGAATGTAAATTAATTTATTTTATCGAAGGAACGCGTTATATATACTGTCGAGAAAGAATAGAAAGGGTAAAATCGCAAAGATGCATCGATCTACACCGTACACATGTATACGTATACACACATATACAGATACACTCGCGTACAGACAGATCGAGGGGAGAGTAATCGAGACGACACTGTGTCATCATTCGAGATGTCGAAATTGATGGCTGTAAATAAAATAAGTATTCGTCTGAATGATCAAACGGAAAATTCAATCGAAGAAGATTGTGAACTTCCTGAGCGTCTTTGCGACCGCGCGGATAATTGTATTTACCGAAATGAGTATATTTTCTCAAGAATTTGGAAATTTGCAAAAGTAAAGGCTTATATTACTTGAATTGATTAAATACCTTCGTGTTGAGCCCCGTTTGAGTCTTGATTATTCTTCACGTTACAACCTGCGCCCAACGAGATCTCCATCTCTTCCCCTTCTTCTGGATGTCTCTTCTCCCATATCTACCATCAGCATCATCACCGTTATCACTATCACTATCATACCATTATCATCTTACCATTATCATTATCATCATCATTATTCGTGCATCCGGCGGAGTTTCGCGTTGTCCAACTTAGGATTGATAGTTGAGAATCGAGTGAAGGCGCGATAGAAAGGGAGAGAGTGTAAGAAAGCTTTTTACCAAAAATATGCAAAAACCGCGGACTACTCGCGCGATATACACGAGAAAGTGATAAAGAAGGAGCGGCAGCGAGCAGGTAGTTAGAGTTTTAGCGAAAAGAGAGAGAGAGAATGAGAATGAGAAAGAGACGAGTCGCGTAGTTATTATTATAATATTACAATAATGACGCTGTATTATTATAATTAACGATTTACTATTATTGACGTCATCTAAACGTATGAAAGATTTTTACACTGTTGAGACTTGAAGTAAATAATATATTTAGTTTATTTTGGTACATCACGATGACGAGAGAGTGAGAATGAGAAATAGAACGCGAGAGATAAATTAACGAAAAATAAAAGAAAAAAACCGAGGACGCGAAGAAGTAGAAAGGTGGGGTACACGAGCTATTTTTTAAGAGACAGACTTTATTACTCGATTTGAGTCCACACATTATAAGGTAAAAAGTAAAAAAAAAAGAACGCTGAGGATAAGAGTGTGAAAGAGAGAGTGATTGAGTGCGAAAGAGATTGTGTACGAAAGAGAGAGAGAGGAAATGAGTGAAAGAGGGTAGCTGAGAGGAAAAATGTGAGACAGAGAGAGAGAGAGAGAGAGAGAGGAGCACTTATTAGCGAGTGCGTATTGTGTATTTGTTGCACAAGGCGAGATTGTCACCACTTGACTGACAAAAGAAATCCACATGTGATTTTAATAGTAAATTTTGAGAATTTTACTAAATAGAGACTTGTATACACTAAAAAAGTAACTAAAGTAATTATCGTGACTGACCAAACGAAGAAGAGGGAAGAGGGAGAAAAGCGAGTAAAGAGCAGCAGTAATAGTTGCGCCGACTGGTTCAGGGGATGAAGATGGAAAAGAAGAGATGAGGATAGCGGACACTATCTGTATCGCGTATCTAACATCTCCGGATACAGGCGAAAGAGATTCCACGAGAGTGACCGGAAAAAAAGGGTAGCCGGAATAGAAAGAGAGAAAAAAGGAGAAAGAGCGATCGCGAGCGAGAGTGTGTAGTTATTATGTACAGAGAACGCGCAGAGACGCGTCTTTTTTTTCTTGCGGCGACGTGTTTTTTGCATAGGTAGAGTTGAACTTGATGATTAAAAAAAAAACCATAGGATAAGGCGACGAGTGAGCGAGCACTCGCTCGGATTAGAAGATAATAGGAGATGGGCGATCTTTTATCGGATTAAGAAGCGGCTAAGTTTATAAATAGACGTAGATAGGTAGAACAATAGTTTAGTTATATAGTAGTTAGGATACGAATATGCCTCTCATCCCCCGTGTCCCCTATCCTCCCTCTGTGTGTTGTCGCGGGCACGGGGGGCACGGGCGTGGGGCACCGTTCAGCCTATGCACCTCGCACCCGTCAAGACTGACTGGCTATTCATAATTAATTGATAAATATATATATATATTATTCTACAGCATTATATATATATATATATATATATATGAACTACTTGTATAATTGTATAAATAGTAAGGAACTATTTGCTTGCTGCGCACCGCGGGTCGGGTGCGTGGGCTGGCCGGATGTGGGCTCTTGAACTCGTCGATAGGGTGCGGGGACTCGTGGGGTTTCCGCGGCAGAGTTGCTCCTCAAACCGAAGACCGGAAGCGCACGGAAAAACGATTCCTTCCGACTCTGGTCGTTCGGAAGGTGTGCCCCCCCTCCTCCCACGTTGAATCACACGTGGACGTTAGACGCGAAAAATCATACGAATTTTTTTTTCCTATACGATTCTTCGCCTCTAACAATCCGAATTTTTCGCCGCGGGAGCTGTCGAGCTTCCGCAGCCCGGCCGCCAACAAGTTTTGGGCAGGAAAACGGTTCTTGCCGCTGCGGACAATGCTGCTTTCCGTAAAGCTTTCTCTAGAGTTTTTCGCGTAGACACTCTTTAGATTAGGCGTACCGTAGTTGATAGGCTGATTGTAGAAAAGAAGACGAGAGGAAGCGAGAGAAACTGATTGTAAGCGAGAAGCGAGACGAAGAAAAATATAGAATGTTTTTAAGAGTAAAATAACGTTAGTCGAAATCGGCTTAAGAGCGTGAAAGCGAATACGTGTGTTTGCGTATGTATGAGAGGGACAGAAAGAAAGGGAGAGCGTGATTAGCGATAAAGCGAGGTCCGAGGTGACTAGATCATCGTCTTGTACTTCGACTTGTACAGTCCTTAGCTTTCCAAGTTTTTAAGTCATTGTTTTACACGTGTTTGTTAAGCGACTTAGCTGTAATTACTCGAGACATCTTGGGTTTCTTCCTCCACACACTTCCTTCTCTTCCTCCCCCGATGTATCTCCGTGCCCTCCGCCCCGTCCCTCCTTTCTTTTTGCATTTGTACTCCGCTCGTCCTTCGAATTCGACGGTAAACGAATCGGACGAAGGAAGCGGAATTTGTAATGTAATTTTACGACGGAACGAGAGACACGTACCCCGTGCGTACCATTTTCCAAGATCAACGAGAGAGAAAGAGAAAAAAGCAGAAGAAAAAAAGGGGGAACGATGTCGTCGGACGCTGAGGTCTCTTTTTAAATCCGCGCGCGAGGATCAATTTGTAGAATTTCGAGAGTACTTTTAAGGCAGAGGTGAAAAGAAGGCGTTTAGCATGTAATGTGAAGAAAAAAAAATCTTTAGACATTAAGGCAAGTTGTGTCATAGTTAGTTAAGAGATCTAGGGAGACTCTTAGGAAGTCGAATAGGTGCTGTAATAAAACAAAGTTTAACACAAGAAACAAGTCAGAATTAGATTTTTCATGAATAAAGTAAATTAAAAAATTAAAAAAAAGAATGAAAAAACTCGAGATAGGAGGAACGTAAAGAAAAAAAAAATAAGGAACGTAACACACGCGACGTTGACGACACAAGGGGCATAAGCCACTAAAAAGTGCCCTTAGTTTATTTTGGATCGTTTAAAAAAACGCTAGTCTTTGTGTGTGAGAGAGAGAGAGAGAGAGCGAGAGAGAACGAGAAAAATATAGTAATGTGGGGGTTTTTTTAGATAGGTTCTTCGGAGAATAAGCAGGCAAACAAATGAAAAAAGAAGAAAAAAAAGGAAAAAGGATTTAAAAAACAATCGTGCGACGATAAAGAGAAAGAGAGATAGAGCGAGAGGGCCGACGAAAGTGTACGAGCGAGAGGAAGAGAGTGTGCGCATGTGTGTACGTAGGTGTGTGCGTAACTTCGAAGAAAAAAAAGATAACGCGTACTCTCGAAGAACCGTCATCTGCCTATTTTACACACAGCACATGCTTACAAGGAATACATATATATACACACACACACACACACACACACATACACACACTTGTACAGAAAGGAAAAAAAGAGGGAAAAAATGTGCGTGCGCTACTGCGGAGTGTGTATGCACACTCTCCGCTGCTCCTGTATTATTACCGCGTAACACCCTATGTGTGTCTCTACTATAGGGGCGTGCACTTGAATCGGTGGTCTTTTTAGAGTTACTTACGAGTAATGAAGAAACGGTTTGGTAAATAATTAAATAATTCGCGATGCGCGGGAAGAGCGAGTTCCCGGATTCGTCACGATTATCATCCCTTATTTTTGATCAATAAACGATCTGTTTTTGGGGATTTATGGCGAGTGACACGACTCTTACTTCACCCATCTGGCGCGGTTCTCCTTGAAGAAAAAGCCCAGAGAGGAATGAAAGCGGCTGCTAATCCAGGAGCAAAGCATTTTTTTTGTTAACATCCTTATCTATTAGTATTCTCGTTTTTTATTCTTTTTTATTACTACAAAAGATGCAATGAATTGTTTTGTTCATATCATCGATCGATAGATTTTTATAGTCTTCACAAATGTGAAATAATATTATGATTAAATATACAGTCGATTTCTCGATGAATTCGTAAATATACGCAAGTTTCATTTTCAAAGATCGATATAAAAAAAAGCACATTCAACACAAATGCAAAGAAATTCTTCAGACGAATAAAAATTAAATTACATAAACATTACAAAAAGTAATTTGGACACCTGTTGCATAATAACAATCTATTATTAATTTTCTAATTTTTTAAATCATTTACTATTAATATGATAAATTCATATTATCTTATGAAATAAAGGGAGTTCCAGTCATTTCAATATGAACAATGTTTTATAACAAATTCTATACCGTATTTGTAATTAGCGCTCTATATCCAGTTTTTGAATATCCTTAATGTGTTGTCCGCACCGCCAGACATTATCAGCTCACGATTCGACCAGTCGCAGCAGAGCACTTTGTCCTCGTGTCCCAGAAGATCAAATAATGGTGCCTTGGGACTGAAAAGGTAGTAAAAGTTAATTTTGCATAAATGTCATATCGGTTAATACTGTTACTTGTTCAGTTTTCAATTTACTGCAATAAATATTTGGATCTAAAAATTTTAATTTGAAGATAATTTCATCGAATCTATTATTTTATTTCAATAAATCTATAATTTAATACTAAGGTAGCGGTTCATAACCAAATGAAATTTCGCAAAATCTGCATTCTTTTAACGTAACATTTAAGAATAGTTTTTTAAATAGATATTTTAATCTGCAAATAACCTTCTGGTGTCCCAGAGCTTGACGATATTATCATACGCTCCTGAAATAAAGATGTGCTCGCTCTCAGTCGACCAGCGTACGGACACCACCCATTGCGTATGAGAGGTGAACCTAGCTTTCACAATTGCACCTTCTGAAATATATAATCGTAAATAAGTTTGAATTATTCGCTTAGCGCAACATTAAGTCTCTTCAAAGATCAATTTTCGTAATCTAAAATTTAATTTTCGACTTTTTAACTTTATCAATAAAATTCGTAATCTTGATTTCTAGAGAACGAAAAATTAGAAAAATATAGGAGGACCTGTAGATCTCGGATCATACAGTCGCACATGTTGATCAGCGGATCCTGCTAGCACAACACGCGATAGCGGCGAGTAGTCAATGTCGAAGAAACTCTTGTCACCATGGATTTCCTGCTTGATGCCGTTTAGTTCGGCATCCCAAATTTTTATGGTATGATCCCACGAGCCTGTGATGATTTCCGTTTTGTCGGACCACACGACTCCGCTAATCGCTTGCTTGTGTCCTTTCATCGCGCATTTCGGCGCCTGTACGTAAAACAAATGCAATGATTTCAGTATACTTTTTTCGTAAATTTTTAAATAATAATCGATATTTATTAATATTTTATTTTTATTTTATTTTATTTGCATGGCAAATCGTTAGAAGTATAGTTCATAGCATTGAAATGTCTATCAAGCATCGGATGTGTTAGCATGAATTTTGATAGAATTAATAATAAACATACTTTCGTCTCATTCACGTATTCCAATCTTGCCTTTTTTGACGCGGATTCTCCATCATTTTCTTCTCGTTTAGCTTAAGAAAATGAAAAAGATTTGTCTTAATAATTAATATTTCACGTTGTAAAATTTTAATTTTTCAATAATATATATTGAAATTTGAATAGTATGGTCTTCAATTTCTTGTGCTATTGTACTTACATGTTGACCATATGTATAACATATTATCCCAGGCACCGGTTGCCATTAACGTTTTATCGTAGTTAACGCCGACTGTTTCAATGCTTCCTCTGTGACCTTTGCAAACCTGTACGCATTCCACCGAATTCTTTGCTATATCCCAGCTCCATATCATGCAGGTCTGATCCATCGATGCGCTATATACACATGTAAATGTAAAATTATATGATAACCGCTCGTCATTCACGATTGAAAGTCCACTTATGTACCTCAGAAATGTTTTCGCGTATTAATTTGCACGAGCCTACTTGACTACGTATGAGGAGAGAAATTCGTACGCATACAAAATCCAAAATACATAAAATTGATACATTCTTGGCAACTACCTAACGAAGGAGGCGTTGTCGTCGTTGACAGTTATCCAGGCCACCGCTCTGATGGGGGATTTATGTCCTGGAATCACAAGCTGATGACTGCCTGTCAATTTCCAAATATGTAGCATATTGTCGTAACAACCAGTTAGGATCCTAAACAGAATCATTTGAGATATTAATACTCCAATTATGTTTTAGGGACATAACATGCGTTTTGAAATTATGCTCCATTCTCTTTTTTAATTCTCATAATTATTGGGAACAAACCATTTTCCACAAACAGCAACAGCCGACACCCAATCGTCGTGAACTAGACAATCCTGTGGCTCTGGCGGATAATACTTCTCCACATACTCCACATCTATCACCTCCTCTGTAGAAACTTCCCTATCAGCGATGTGTTCTAGCAAGGAGCTACGTAGAAACTGTGAGCAAATCAGGAAATCAAACTCCACTTGGCGCCGGATTGCATTCGACTCTGTAAATAATCAATTTGATTTTTAAAGCGACGAGAAAGTTCTTTCGCATAATTTAATTTGTACAATTAGATAATTATAGAATATACAAAATTAAATCCTAAAATTACTTTAATGTTAAATATGTTAGATTTAAAAATTGAATTGTTAGGTTTGGAAAGAAACAGGGAAACGGATGATACAACATGTTAGAGCGACTTCTATTATGAGGCGCTTCCTCACCTCTCAGAAGTTCGTTTATCAAGGTATTTAATTCTTCGGGGATTATCGAGCTGTGAACCGATAGGGGATAATCCGGTACTGCATATCTAGAATTGTTAAAGTTAAAATGTAAACTCTCGAAACGAATGCTCGACGATAAAGGGGAAAAAGTAAAATAAATTCTTACTGTTGCTGCTTAGTTACAAAACGTATTTGTATCTGGGCCTCGTCCTTATTAGTGCTGACGGCATTATCTTTCGATTTCATTTTAAGACGATTCTTTTTAACGGACGCAATTTCCATGGCAATCCTGTCGAATTTTTTCTGATTTCCCAATTAATAGATTCCTAACCTCACTTCACCGCCACGAATTTCAAACGAGGCGTGCAATGTGTGCACGTGCACCAACGAGACGTGCGTTCGATATGTGGACAGAAATACTTTTTTTCGATGTGTTTTCGAATGCTCCGAAAACGCGATTATAGGTTAGAAAATCAATATATATAATATGTATATTTTATCATTTTCAAGAAGATTACAAAATTATATAAAATAATTTATTTATATCTCATAAATATTCTTCTACGCTTATTACCGCATATATTAAATTAAAATTAATTTAAAAAATCGCAATTCCTGATGGAATATACATATTTCAAGTTTGGAGATTTTAAGTCACGATAATCAAAAGCACCGACGAGGTATTATTAATTAAAATCAGTATAGTCAAAGGCAATTAATTTGTGTAACTCTGGCTCGAGGATAATTGAAGAACGATGACATTATTAATCTGCACGTTGCAGCTGTATATACCGACAGAGAGAGAGCGTCTGGTACCAAAGATAAACATAATAGAGATCGCATATGTAGATGTCTCTACGATATTCCTCATCCGCCGGTTCCTCCGCCGAATGCTCGCCGACGTTGCCGACCGAACTGGGCAGAACCGCGTTTTGCGTTTGGTCGATACATATACCCGCCGCTCATCGTCGCATATATAAGCGTAAAAAACACGGGGACGATGACGGAGCGGGTGGTCGTCGTCGCCGCGGCGATCTGAAGCGGGAAGTGCTTGTGTCACTAGAGGTATTTGTCGGTTCGGTGCTCGTGTTCGCGAGAAGCTCGCCGCACGGTCGCCGAAGAGGGCGAGTCCAACAACCGGGAGCGGACCGGGAAGGAGAGCCACGCGCGATCTGCAATTCGCGATTCCCGCGACCGAGGACTGGCGCGTCACGAGGGTGCCGCAACCGGGAAAGGTCAACCCCGGCGGTTTGGCCGTGCGTGCATGTGTGTGCGCGTGTGATATGCCGGTGCCCCACTCTCTGGTGCAGCACGATATCGTTCGTCCTTTAAAACTAACCCTTCCTCGCCTCGCGGCCCCAAGGGACCCGGGGGTTCGGCCGAGCACGCCGCCGTGGTCGTCGTCGTCGTCGTCGTCGTCGTCGTCGTCGTCGTCGTCGTCGTCGTCGTCGTCCGCTACTATGCGCATTACGCATTAACAGAGCGTATAAACGCCGTGATCGAGGTAAGCCGGATGAGCCTGTTTCCTTGTACGTACATGTGCATGTATATGTAAAGCGATTTATTTTTGTGCGCGTCCGAAGATCGATCAGCGAGTGCTTTTCGGTTTCTCTGTCTACGCCTCTCTCTCCGTTGGGGGTGGAAGAACGTGTGCGAGGGCGAGTTCTGAGGGTGAATTGCGTCGCGTCGCGTCTACCTCCGGATGCCGAAATACGAAGAGGAAAGGACGTGGGGAGGGATGGGGTGTTTCTTACGTTCACAGAGCGTGATTCTGAATCGTTCAAATGGAATAGGATATTAGCTTGTTGTTTATACTGATGTAATTAATTATCTACTTTGAATTATCTTGCAACTTGAAGTAGAAAAGATTTTTTATGCGATATTGTAATAAAAATGTACTACTCCTATTTTATAATTTGAAGTATATGTATAATATGTAGGCAGTGTGCTGTAAAATCAACAAAACTGCAAGATTTGTCGTTGCATCGTAATTAAAAAAATAAATACCTTCCGAAAGTAAAATTACGAGATTCAATTAAGTCTATGAAAAATCAACAGCATTCTGAGTGCTTCTATGAAGCCACCAAAGAATTGATTGAGCATAGAAAAGGAATTTTATTAGATGCTGCTGTATTTGATACATGTATATCTTTAACATATATATATCCGTTTTGCATACACGAATGTAAAGTAAATTTTAAACTGTAATAATAATAAAATTATATTCCAGGTTTAATTGATTTTTGTTTACTTTAAGAATTTTTTGAGCGTTTTCGTTAATTTTAAGGAATATTAAAATGTATGATCTTTAAAAATTCACATCTGAATATTTATATTCAGATGCGATAGCAAATTAACATTTATATAACAAGAATTTTTCCTTTTTCGCTCCTTTCTTATTGCTAGCTTGTTTTTAATATGAAAACTTAATCTAATACATCTAAAAAAAAACTCATATTCACATGTCTCTTTCCTTTTTTCTTTTTTCTAAAGCGTACATATATATACTTCATACATATATTGTAAAAGCAACTAAAAAAAACAGATATAATCATATTCTTATATATTCGCAAATAAAGACAACATAGTTGGAAAGAGAATGACCTATTGTAAGCCTGATGACTCGCATGATTTAGCGTGATTTATACACACCGCGGCATACAACATTAGTCAATGACACGAATACGGAATAGCACGTTGTGCGTCACGGGGGAGGGGGATAAACATTGGATTTACGAGTCAAGGATATCGATTTTTTAATTTGACAGCAGAAGACCTCGATTTTCTTGTTTAACCGCGAAGTAAATAATAAATCGATAAACGAAAAAAATATTAAATTAAAGGAGAGATAAAAAGCATGGAATTGCATGGATTGTGTTAGTTTAATATTAACTATAATATTAACTATATTGAGTACAGGTGTTGCTACATTCTAGAAATATTATTAAAATTACAATCTAGGAAAAAATTTCAATATTTAATATTATGCAACATTAAATTGACACTTTGTTTTCATTAAATTTTATTTTTATTTAAATCAAAAGTCTGAATATGTTTTTAAAATATAGATTAGAAAACTTGTTTTCTGGATGAGAAAAAGTTGTGAGAAAAAACTAATGTCAGCAGTGACTATTTATATTAATTTAAATGACTTTATTCGACTTACAATTAGTAATGTACCTTTTGCATCAATATTTTCTACACTAATGCAATCTTCGGACTTATGTTCTTTTGCCGGTTACAGCATGTACGCGCTGCAGATGCAGACCGCCTGCCAGGGCGAGGGCACCGGTGAGCCCGATGACCCCAGCAGCCTTCATCAGGAACCAGTACGACCTGCCACCCAAGATTGTAGCTCTTTTGATATTGTCAGAGCCACTCAGGTAATTTCAGCGATCGTGAATTGAAGAACCTATTCACATCTTTTTACTTAAATATTTTTACTTTTAAAAAATGAAGATTATATTATATTTAGCGAAAGATAAATTCATGAAGCATGCAATTCGCATTACTAAATATACCAATTTAAGGTGATTGAACGAAATATATTTGCAGTATGGGGCGTTGGAAAGAGTGACACAATTGGTGGAAGCTGGTGCCGACGTGAACCAGCCAGATTCGGAAACTGTGACGTTACTGCATTGGGCTGCCATAAACAATCGCAAAGATATTGTTAAATATCTCATTGCGAAGGGAGCTGTAGTCGATGCTATTGGTGGTGAATTGGCTTCCACACCATTGCATTGGGCCACGAGGTCAGTATTTTAATAAGTATCATAATATTATTGTAAATTGACCGATAAATGATTTAATTAGAATAATTGAAAACTTTAGAAATAAATAATTTTATGCAATGCCTAAAGCTTTCTATTTTCCATAGATTTTTTTAGCATGTTGTCCATTTTTTTTTTTAATATAAAAATATAAGAACTTAAAAAAAAACTTTAATTGTGTTTCTAGACAAGGCCATCTCTCCACGGTTGTGATACTGATGAGAGCAGGTGCAGATCCAACCTTGAGGGATTCCGAAGGTTTCTCCTGCATACACCTGGCGGCACAATTTGGCCACACGGCCATAGTGGCGTATTTGGTAGCGAAAGGCGTGAATCCAAATATGCCAGACAGAAGTGCCATGACGCCCCTCATGTGGAGCGCTTATAAAGTCAATAGGTACACAGAGCACCGAATTAATATTCTACAAACGACTCGTTTTTTCCAATAGAATAATGTTACGTTGGTTACTTTAAAGTCTTTCTTTTTACAGTCTAGATCCAACACGGCTGTTGTTGACTCTAGGTGCATCGCACTCACTTACCGATAATTTGCATGGTAACACGGCTCTCCATTGGGCCATTATAGCAAAAAACAACACGGCAATATCTACCTTAGTACAACACGGAGCCTCGTTAGACCTGCCCAATTTCCAAAATGAGACGCCGATGACGCTGTTGGGTCCGCATATCGGCGCTGCGTGGCTAGGACATAAAATCAGTCATGAGATTAAGGAGAAGCAAGGTCGTACGAGAACATGGTGTAGAGATAAGGTAATGATGACGTCACAAGCGTTTCATAATATGTCATAGTATCTGTGGGTTCTTTAGAATTACACACTTTAAAGAAGCATTTGAGTGAGAATTAAGCTAGACTTTTGCAGCTCTTCTATACGATTGTTTCATCATCGTGTATTTGTCTTGCAGAGAATCCGTTGGTATTGCATGGCCAGTACGCCGTTTATAGCATTTTATGTGATCGGTATGGTTCTACAGAGTGGATGGGATTATTTATTAAAACTAGGTGCCTTTATCACCCTTTATGTAGCGGTGTATCTAATGAACCATTTCGTGTTCGACGAACGGCTGTTCCACATTTTGCCAATGTCAATTTATTTGGCAACCAAGGTGAGTGTAATTCCGAGACAAATTCTAGATAACTGCGAACGTTTACGATTAGTTTCTGATAAGCTGCTAAGCGTGATAAGTAACATTGTCGATAAGGTGATAAGCTCAAGAGATAGTGTTAACGCAGTACTAAATAAATATTGCAATAATATATTATGAATAAAATAAAATTATTAGTAGCGCCCAATAAAAATATATAGTTAATGTTAAAATATTATTTATTAATATTGAGAAATATTTTGAAGTTCTTGTGTTAATGAACAATTATATCAATACAATATATCGATTTACTACCTTTTGAGCTATATAATTAATTATAAATTATATGCTGATTCTTTTTCTTACTCTTTTCAGATGTGGATTTATGTCACATGGATATTCTGGCTAGGTATCCATGCAGCATGGTATTTATGGTTGTTATTAGTCGGTGGATCTGTTCCTCTCTGGATATGCTTCCTGCAGTCTTGGCGGGGTGATCCCGGAATTATCACGGCTACTCACGAGGATAAATTAAATGTATCTCTTGTTGTTTTAGATGTAAAATCATTTCACGTACATGATCGACAAATTTATGTGTATCTTTATTACAGACGATAATTGAATTGGCTGAGTCAGGTGGTTTCGAGCCACAGTGGTTCTGCAGTAGTTGTTTAGTTAGAAGACCCATGAGATCTAAACACTGTTCCACATGTGACCGTTGTGTAGCACGATTCGATCATCACTGTCCATGGGTTAATAACTGCATAGGTAAGAATATGAATGTTCTGTTAGTATCAATTTATAATAATAGTACTTTTTTTGTTAAGTTTACTATATCTGTTTATTCAGATTTTGATTAGTTAAAATAAGATAGTTGCTATCAATATCCTATATAATTTTCAGGTGCACATAATCACAAGTATTTTCTTGGATTTCTGGCGTCTTTGCTGGGATTGTGTATCGTTATTTTGTCCGCCAGTGTACAATACTGGCAATTCGAGTGTTGGTCAAATTTAACGAACGGTCATAGCGCGGACAACTATCTAGTGGCTGCAGCTACCTGCGACGCTTGGGTGATGTGGGTAGTAGCTAACACGTCCCTGCATTCTTTCTGGGTCGGGACTTTGTTGGCGTGTCAATGTTACCAGGTATATGTCGATATATATACATATATATATAATAGAATTATCTTCGATAAAAATGAGGGAGCTTTTGATTTCTTAATTGTATTAAGCCGTAATTACTAGTGATACATTAGCGATTGAGATTGAGATTGGATTGGAATTTGACCAATCAGAAGAAAAATAACTAATATGAAGTTCAGTAAATTTTGCTTTGATTTGTCAAATATCAATTCAATCTCAATCGCTAATGTGATTTACTGTGAGTGTATTATTATATATACATTTTTATGTGTTTGCGTAGATCATGGTCCTGGGAATGACAACGAATGAACGTATGAATGCCGGTCGTTACAAACACTTCAAGCAGGGGAACCCATTCCATCGCGGCGCCTTGCAGAATGCCGCCGACTTTTGTAACTTCAGCTTTTGCGGATTGAAGGCGAAGCCCAGCTCGGATTGGTTGCACAGTTTCGATCTCAAGCAAAGCATCGAGAAGTTACCTTTGCTCGCGCAAAAAGATAATTTTCAGTACGTTTAGAGTTCTGTAAGCAGCCGTGAGAAGCTAATTGTACACACATACATACACCATATCACTTATGCCTGACGTACTCCTTGGGCCACCAAAGAGTTACCGCAAACATGTAAGTGACTTTCCAGTACGGCAGTAACTATGCATACACGAACGATTTCATTTGCATATTCTCTAAAATAGCTCTAATATACAACAATCGTTGAATGACAATTTTTCGACTCGCATGTCGTAAAAGATGTTATATTGCGCGAATGTGCATATCCCACCTATATTCTTAAAGATATCGATGAGTAATAAAATACAAATGCACAAATTTCATGATTCAAATTAATCATCTTTGTTGCCCAAATATAATGCACATAATATGACACATGAATAAATTTCTGTATCGTTTCACTTTAAAGTGATAAATGGGGAGAAACACATGTAAAAAGGAAACTGAAGATTAGAAAACTAATCTGTGACATAGAAATTGGGCAGTATAAGGTTGCTAATAATTTCTTCAATCAATCATTTTAATTATGCATCATTCTATTTATATAACTAATATCCAAGTTTCTTTTAACCAAACTATAGGATAACTATTGTTTATATTAAACGCGTATTGTAAATATTTATCTTGAATCGTATTCATTTATTCATATTTATCGATCATTCCACATCTGATTTCAATATTGCAATTCATAAACAGCAACTAATAATTCAACAGATACTTGGCTTTTTCAAGAAGTAAATGCACTTAGAGCTTGAAAGTATGTAACTATTTAGTGATTATAAATTTATAAATCTAAATACCTTTAATTACTATGATTACAGTTATTTTATCATCAACAGAATAATTGGAAATCTATATATTTCTCATTGACGCAAATATCCGGAGAATATTTATATGCATTTATTCACGATGAATTCTACAATTTGCGCGTATAATTGAAAAAATTAATAAATACATAATATAATAAAATTTATTGAAAAACAAGAATTAAATATGCAAATAATGCAATGTTTAAAATTTGTATAAGGCGTAAAAGTGAAATAAATAATAAAGATGTGGGGCCTATACATCGCTATAAATGTGTATAAATTATGCAAATTAGAACGCATAAAGAAAATCAAATGCTGTGTCGTAGAATTATAGCCAAAAGAGAACTACAGCTATTTATACTGTTTAGTCTATATTGTTCGTATTTGTAAGAGACTCTACCTGAATTAAGTGCCATGTTATGCTTCTTGAAATGCATTTATGTACTCGACATCACAAACTTTTGTTGAGATCAACTACTATTCGTATTGGTTACTGTTGCGACTAAAATGTAATATTTATAATAATAATGCGATATTTGCGATCACAAATCAATATTACAAATTATTCGTAATATTTATTTAAGCACTATGTTAATAGCGTATATGAAGCATATCTTGTCAGACAAAAAACGTTTAGGTCACAAAGTCGCTTTTTATATGTTAAACAAAGAGTAAGTCTAGAGTATTGTTACGCAACAATGAAATGATTTAACTCGACTAAATACGACAGAGATTGCTCTGTGTGTATTGTAATTTAATATTTAACTCCAAATCGATAATTCTTCCAAATTATATGTACAAATTATTGCAGAAAAAAAATGAAAATTATTGCTTGTACATTCCAATTAACGGTAGCATTTTATAATGAGGGTGTAGGAAATGTCAATTTATAGATATCTCGTCAAAACTTTTAATTTTACATAAGTTGATTGATGAAGAAATATATTGTATTATTTTTTAGATGCGCTCATGGAAGTTGCATAAGTGCAACGTAAAGTAGATTTTTTTTAACTAAGTCTAGAAAGAAACATTTTATGATTTACTAAGTTTGAAGTATTCTTATTTTCTAGGAAAAAATAACTTCAGTGTGATGACTCTTGATTTCAATGAGTGCACATAAAAGTGATTCGATCAAAGATAGGATATCTGCACAGTACAGCTTTGATTTATGATACAAATATATACATTTAGTATATGTAGAATTATCCTAATTACGCAACCATAAGAATATGCTAGAAAAATCGCGCTTGGTGCGTTGAAACGCTAATGATATCGACGAAATTTCATTCAATTATAACCAATTCAGTAATCTTTTATTAGTAAATGTAAATGTTGTATATTTTGACGCGTCTGTAAGTATTTCAGTTTTATTTTATCGAGTCTAACATAAGGACTTTTTATGATTCAAGCGGAATACGTCTTCGAGATCATTTAACTCTAGCTTCGATTTACCGGTTGTATTAGTTCATACGGATTTTCCCGCCCGACGACTTCTTGTACAGAACGATAAAAAAAAATATTCGCGTACAAAATGTTGAGAAACATACAGATAGTTTTAATATGGATATACTTGATATAGCAATCATGCAATTACTGCAAAACGAGTACTCCATGTCAATGTTGTTAGCAAAAGATACATATATGAATATTATAAATATAGCAATATATACATAAAATATATAACTGATTGTACTGTAATATCATTTGTCGGACAATTGTGTTTGTCAAAAGGATTACTTTGCGTCGGACGGCTCGATTCGCGATTGTTACATTTAATTATTTTTATTTTTTAATCTAGTCCAACTGAGATTCGTGTAGCAAACAATAGCATTGATATATTTTTTTGTTAACTATTGTGTTGTGATTACTTCCTATACGAGAAGATCTCTAACAGTCAAAGTAAGCTGTATTAATATTAACTTCTTCTAATGTATTATGTAATTTGGAGATTAGGATCGAGAGAAATCGATATAATTTCGTTGAATTTCATAAGACGAACAACGTAAGTGCATAACAATTCGCGTTTATTTGCGTTATAAACGTGACGTGACGATTGACATAGTGTCCAAATTTTCACGTAAATTATACCGATTTCCGTCCTCACAAATCATGAGTATCAATGCGTCGTTAATGATATATGATACAAAAGTAATAACACATTTTTACAGCCGGGAAAATATACATGTAGCGTCATAATAAATGTTATTAACACACGCGCACGTTTCTTACATCGCTACGTCTCTTCTTAAGATCCATAAAGATAATTTTAAGATTATACGAAATATATCTTGGAGATGGATTCACTGATATAAAAGTTATAATTCACGATGCGACACTTTTATCGTTACTGTGATTTGCGAGGTAAATACGAAAAACATGTAATATGCATACATTGAATGTTCGAATTGCTGTTAAATTTTTGACGAATTATAACATATATACACGATGATGGTGCGTTATTTACTATCTTTTTATGTGATAATCGTCCTATTCTGCTTCCAACTCTGTTCGTTGTAAATAAAAGTCTAATATGTCTAATACTTACTTCGTTCGAGAGAAACTTCGAAGCAAAACTCTGTATGTGTGTGTTGTGCTTTTTTCCAAAAAAACAGAATTAAATGTGCTTTATGTGTTCCTTTTTTAATTTTTCCTGCAACATATATGTGCTGTAACGATAGATAAATCTGGAAAGTGTTTTTTTAATTGTAAGCAATTCTTAAAATAGTTCTCTACAATCGACTTCTATTCGTGATAACAACATTGTTTACTATAATTATTTATGTCTCTGTATAGTTTTGATAGGATGCTAAAATATTATGTGAATAAACAGCATCATTTCTTTATCTAATTTATTGATATAACATAAAATAAGTCTTTTTTAGCGAAAATTTTATTGAACTTCTCTTTTTTTGTATCTTAATTTTTAGTCTTTAATCATGACTTCCATGCATCCGTGTGACGTTCGAATTCGAATTTCCATACCGAAAACCCCCATACCCATAACTGATACGACTTGAATACGCAACGTATGTAGCAAGTCGCTTTTGTTATCGCCTTTGTTCCGAGTTTGAGTTATAGTTTGATTTGCGTTACTCGACGTGTTAATGTTAATTTAATTTTTCATGTATTTGATCGTAATGAAATGTGTTTAACATGGTCACCGGAGAGGATTGTTCCTGTGCCGACACGACGGAACCCTCCAATTTAACGTCCTTGCACTCGGACGATGCTACCTCGGCCGTAAATTCCGACGTAAATGTCGTCTGCACTAAAACGGTCGACAAGAGGAATGATGCCGTTGAGGAAGCTAAAGGTATATTTTTACACTTTTTTCCCTAATGTTCTACGAAAGTAAACTATATATATCTACAAAACGTCCCAAAATCATTGGCCGAATATTTTTTTGACAACATATTCATTAGCCGAACTGTCAATTTTTTTTATTCTCAAAAATATGCATAGAGGCAGATTTAATTTATTATTTTAATATCTTATTTCAATTTCGTCTTGCGTTAAGTCTATTCTATTTATTTTCATTTATTGTTGAAAAATCGTTTCATTTGCATCTTATATAGAAACGAACTGCAAGTATTCCGACGCATCGCTGGTTGCAACTTACTGTGTAACTGCAGCAGCCGATGTTCCGGCTGCGGCGCCAGGAAGACCAAATCGTCAATCGCAGCGAAAGAAATCGAGGAGTCAGCCACCTGCTACGCAACTCAAATCGAGTTTCCCGTGCCTTTGTCACAGTCACAAAATGTAACATTACCGCGCCTGTCTTATCTCATTAGCCGATCTATTTTTTTTTAAAGCAGACTTCTCGTTCCAGCAACGGCTACGTCTTGCCTGTGAAACTCAAGGAAGGTACATAGAGAGGTACCGTTGAGACTCGCCGAAAGTAATGACGATGGTTGTATTTTTTTTGTTTTTTTTTTCAGATAAACCACAATCACGACCGTTCTGGAGCCGGTTCGGCTGGAAACGACCGAGAAACGGCAAGAGGGACAAGATGTACGAGATAAAGCTGAAACAAGTTCAGTGTCCTCACTACGCCAAGCTGCGTGATCTGAGCGGCGCGCCTAAACAACAGCACCTCGACGCGCTGCAATTGCCGTACGAATTTCAACCTTTCGTCTCGCGCGAAGAACTGTCGGAAGGGATACCGAGTAAGAATGCTAAGTACGAGGCCAGCAAATTGAAACCACCTAAATATCCAACGAAAACGAAACTCAAGAGGGAGGAAGTGGCGGAGAAAATCGAGATCTACTATTTTGATCACGGAAACTCCGCGTGGGTATCAATTCCGCTTGACGAGAATACTTTCTCAAATATAACGGATGTTCTCCAATTTGCCTCACGCTCTCTTGCAGCGAGCTCTCCTGAATCTTGAAAATAATTTCTGAATTAATTACAATCAAACGATCAAAGAAACAGTAATCAATCACTTGGACATAACAACCTCTTGCAGATATTATCGAACAACCGACTGCCATCCTGTACTAATTACGGACAAGTGCGCCGAAAAGACCGACCAGGCGGCGACTCGCTTTTGGGCGGAGATCTTCGGCACGATTCACATTGGTATCGCCTTCGTCACGGCCTTTATTTTGCAGCTTCTACGCTTTGTGCTCTACAGCGTGATCCGGCCGTTGACAGTGGGGATACTTCAATTGATAGCGGATTACTTTGTGAAACCGCTGCTGTCCATTCTGTTCAACGCTCTTGTACAACCGATATTGATTCTGTTTTACAACATCGCGACGTCGTTGAGGGATCTTTGCGAGCCGATAGCCGAGGCGATGGGTCTGTTCCTGCGAGAGATCGCGAACCTCTGCGCCGCGATCAGGATCGTGGAGGTGAAGCACGTTCACACGCCGATCGCTGCTTCCACTTGAGCTCGTACGCAAAAATTGGCGATTCTTGACGATCGAGGCTTTGGTAACTTAACTAAAGACTGTCGAAGGATTTTCGCGAATCTGGGGATCAGGCACACATTTCTGAGAGGAATCTGTGTTCTCCTGCGCGATGCACGTCCAATTCATCACCAACAACACATGCCTTAACACCAGGTATATATTTGGTATTATTTTAACTTTACAATATTATTATTGTATCATTTTTTTACAGAACAAATTATCTCTTATAGCAACTAGCTTTGTCAATAATAATCAATATTCGTTCTTTGTCACTCTCGCGCATTCTCTCTCTCTCTCTCTCTCGTTCGCTCTCATCTTTCTTTCTTTCTCTCTCTCTCTCTCTCTCTCTCTCTCTCTCTCTTTCCCTTTCTCGTGTATCTTACCATTTAATAAATTATGTACAATCTCACAAACAACAAACGGAGGAACCTAATTACATCATGTAGTTGTTCACACTTTGCTATGTACAGGTACTACTGGTATATTTTTTTTCTTGTTTTTTTTTACAGAATCGCTGTTTTTTCTCATTCTCTCTCGCATTCTCTCACTCTCTTTCTCTCGCGCTCTCATACATCTTCTTTCTTACCGGCCGATCGTATCGCGATGAACTTTATTTTTTCGCATATAATCTACAAAAAGAAAAAAAAAGGAGACAAAAAGAAACCGAATGAACGAACGTATCGCCTATCGTCACCTAGTCTCAGGAACTGCAACCTCTGCTCGCTCGCTATAACGCATCGCAGCGATCTAGGTGGTACTGCTAGTGTTTGTGGTGGTCGGAGTCTCCTGGATGGCTAAGGTCTGCGAAGGCGCGGATGTCGAGTCACCTGTAAGCAAACAACCAAAGGGATCAATAATATAAAATCAAGCCTGTATCTCTCAGGCCATAATCGACTAAATATACGCTTAAATGCACCGTAATTGGGTTCGTCCCTTAATCGCGTGTTTGTAACTGAGAAGGGAGCGAGAGCCTCCTCTCTGTAAGTCTATATGTCGACCATTATCGATAATGAACGTCGTAGAAGCGCTATGAAAAGCGCTTTCATACACGCTTATTCTTTTTTTTTTTTTTTTTAAATAAATAAGCCTCGATTTAATTCAATCATCTATTTCGATAAAGTATTACAGTAACGAGAAGGTTCCCTAGAGACATGACCCTATTGATCGTCAAGAAATAAATATTCCACCGCTCAAAACGCGCAATCCAGTCTCGGATCTCTCGCCGGCATTGCGTAATCGGCATCGATCAATACCGCATCGGTGGCGGCGACGACGGTCGCGGTGATAGCATATAAAACTTACCCAAGAGGGCGGCTTCCAAGTCCCCCAGGATCTCCGTCTCCTTGGGGTCTATAAGGTTGAAGCGTTGATTAAGGAGCGTGAGGTGGGCGAATACACAATTGAGGTGAGCGTGCAACCCCAAAAGCGCCACCTCCCTGAAGTGGCAGTGGTAGATGTGTGCCACTACGTGGTACAGTAGCCGCAGGATCTTACGCACTATCGACTCGAACGAGCTCGGGAACTCGTTTGCTGAAAAATATCACGGTGACATTAACATCGGTCGCTCTCGGACTGCGATTATGTAACGTAATCACGAATAAATATCACAATAATAAACCGCAATCGATAAATATGATATAAATCTCGGTAGCACGTAAATAAAGTGAACTTTGAACGTTTACTTATTAATTAATTATATATTGAAATACATCCCAGACACGACGAAAATTAAATACATATCGTTCAGGAAACAACTCACCATATTTTGTAGGGAATATAGTTTCGTCACTAACGGTGCGTTGCGTAAATGTCATAACGTAGTCTATATATTGTGGCGCCGCAACCCTCGTTTTCTTTCCCTTTTCGTCAAACCATAGATACGTTCTAGAACAATAAATCAATCGTCATGGCGCAAATCGATCGTTGCTGCTTTCGTTCCTTGGAAATTTTCTCAGGACTTGAAATTCGCTTTGAGCAAGAAGGTATACCTTACCTTAAGCCGGGACCGGTCATGTCGGGACAGCCCGTCATGGTGCAAAACTCTGATATCGTGCCGTAGACGAGATTAATGTGGTCGAACAATGCGAGGGTGTGCGACGCCAACCATTCGTTGTAGTCGAGGCCGGGCGGTAGGTCCACGAGCATCCTCAGGTCCAGCTCCGGCAGCTGTCTCTCGAGGGCGGCCTCCTCCAGGTACAATTTCGGATCCTCCGTAGTTCCCGCATCCTTCTCCTTTCGTCTGGCCTTTCTGCAAAACGAGAAAGCGGTCGCACGGTCAGCGAGACGAGCCTCGAAAAAGTTTTTTCAATATACGTTCAAGCCAATCAAGCAGAATCACAGGTACCGCGTGTAAGAGGCGTAAATATGTACATGTAACACAACACAGTCTGTGTGTAAATGAGATTAGTAGGCACGCTGTCCGAAACCAAATTGATCGGCTCTTGGAAAGAATCGATTTTTTTTATAGAATTATATTGTTACAAAAATCGAACAGACTCTACAATTAAATTTATTTGATTTTGAACAGCTTATACAGTGTTAAGAAAATACTTGCAAAAGGGGCGAGAAAAAATCGGCTTTATTGTAGAATTAATTACGGAGAAAATTATTAAAGATTAAAATAAATGCAAAAATATGCCAATCGTAAATATAAAACAATAATAATGCAATGTTACAGAAGACAATAACACGACGGTATCGCGAGTACGTCGTGTCGTTTAGAACAAAAAATCTCCGACGAAGTCAATGCATTTTTTTTACAACGACCCACCATTGTCGATTCACAGATACGCTAATTTGCGGTTCCCGGGTTGACCGGAACAGACTGAACAGAGCGTTTTGTTTTTAATAGACTAACGCGAATTCATTAATCAAATCGGCGAATTATCGGATCTGCACGATTACCCTCAGCGCTTGCCGAGTCTATTCAATTTGTCTTTAATTTATCAGCGGGTCCAAGCATTGTGTTTCTCACATTATGCTCTCACTGCCTAATAAATAAGACATTAGAGAATATTTCTAACATTCACTTAATTAGATATCTTTCGATAGAAAGTCACAAAATGATGCTGCTCAGTGAAAAACCGGAAATGATTACAAAATCGATTGTTGCAAAGCGCTATCATCGTATGCAAAATAGAGATTTCGCCTCGCTTTTTGCCAAGTATATATAATATAACGATATCATTAGAATATAAAACGCTATATTTTACATATTAATAAATATACAGGATGTTCTACTATATATTCATATACAATTTTAATCGCTCTTTTTACAAATGTTCAAAAAAGTGTTTTTCTTTAGAATAGCAAGAGATTTTCAAATATAATATTAATTAAAAGTAATTTAAATACACTATTATTGAGTTTTCTGGATATATGCAAATTTTTAATTAACAGTTGAAGATAGAAAATAAAAAATTATAAGTTGAGACATTGATTAATTAAACTTTTGCAAAAGGATAATCTACTCCAACTATATTTTACTCCAAATAATTTGTTATCAGAACTGTATTCATGAGATATCCTGCATAATACAAAGAATCTACGTTTTCAATAAATTAAAAAAATAATTATTAGTAGACACATGTATATATATTATATATATATATGAAAAATTGCGAGATAATAAATATAGTAGAATCTTATTATTACATCGGTGCAAAACATTTTATGTATCTGTCAACTGAAGTTAAAACAAAATTATACAATTTGTATTTTTATAAACATAAAATATTTATCACATTAACTATAACTTTCCCATTCAGAAAATAAATTTTTTAGAAAATTCAGATAAGTATCATTTTATTTAGAAATAAAAGGACGACAAATGTTTTGCATCAACTTAATAATAATAATAATAAATATCAAAAAAGTAAACGATAATTAATTGTGTATCGCACAAGAATACGCAACTAACACAGAGTGTTCTTTGTCTGCACGTGAGAACTAAACATAACAACTGGTTTTCGGCTCGCGCTTGCTCACAATCAGTACGCAGCAGCCGCGTCGCACATTCAGCTTCCTGCCAGTGAAAAATGCAATTACATGCAATAACGATAGCAGCGATATTCAGCCACGTCTACACGATCCAAAGCGCGCACAAATCTCTCTCTAGAAAGCACACATGCTCCTGGAAAGAAGCTGCATCTCCGCATAGAAGAAAAAAGGCTGACGTAAGTCAGCCTAGATATACAAATTCATCATCGTTCATGACGTATGTCTCTAATCGCGTACAACACAGTCATCGCGTTACAATAATATTCGTCTATGACGCTATCGATGCCTTGGGCATGATACGATAATTTATTATACGGACACTCGATTCTTCCCATTTCAATCGACATATCTCCGTGTAGAAGATGCGCTTTAATTACACCGGGCTAATTCCACGTTACGGCACGCACATATGCACATATCTATACGATATCGTTTGCGGGAGGAAGAAAAGGAAGGGCGGAGGGGACAGGAAACTCACGCGACTAGCTCGCCGAAGAGCCTGATCTTCCTGTGGCAGGTGTCGAGCAGGGAGAGACGCGAGGAGGAGGCGCTGCTCGAGCTGCCGGCGCCGCCGGTACCGGCACCGCCGTGGTGCACCGGCGTCGGCGGCGCCGAGACGGTGGTGGCCGAGGACACCACCGCCGCCGCCGCCGCCGCGGCGGAAACGGATGCGGAAGCGGAGGAGGGCTCCCGTAGGACGGTGACGGCGCCGCGCGCCGGCGAGCGTAACATCGTTGCCGTCTTTGTCGCCGCGATCGTCGTGGCCGAGGACGATCTCCTCGGCGCAGCACCGGCCTCGTGCCCGAGGATCCGCTCACGCACGCTGGGTAGGCACCAAATCTTGTTCGTTTGTCATCGAACGATGGCCAGCACGCGCCGGGACGACTCCCTCCGGGATCCCCCTTCGCGACGATCTAACAGAGCTCGACAGAGACCGTGAGAGCGAATGCGAGAATCCCCGAGCGCGTTGAATAATTTCTTTGGTGATCGAGGACGGAATGTTCGTGTGGAAGGACGCTTCGGAGGATCCACTTCTCGGTTTTCGATGCACCTGCTGCGCTCCGTTAATGGCAGGCTCGAGAATCGATCAGATCCGTCACATCTGAACTTTGTGATTTCTTCTAGTTAAGTTTTTTCTCTGTTCCGCGCTCTTTTTCTCTAAAATCCATTCTTAATATTTCGTGCACTTTAAAAGTATTCAACTCTTATAGATCCCGATTTTCCTAGTAATATGTATTTTCTCATTCTGTGCTGAAAAAACGAGGAACAGTCAGCTATCACTTAATATCCGTGCATCTCAGATCCTGATTTGTAGATCTTGGCAGACCTTGATTTTCCTAACTGTGATATATTTATAAAAAATCACGGGACCCTAAAAGAACGGGGAGACCGTCAAGTATCATTTAATTTTCATGCATCTCAAATGCGTTCGGTCCTTTTAAATTCTGATTTTCTTAGTAATTTTTAATTCTGCCGAGTGTCCATATGCGTGATTCCCTCGGATGATTTCCTCGGGTAATTTCTTGAAATTAAAGGCTTAGCCGAACTAATCTCGAGCTCTCGTTTGTCGTGTGTTTATCGTCTTACCAGGTCTGGCGACTCGTTAGTGTCGCACGATGACGGTGACACCTGATCTAACCGGGCCGAGAAGGAATAGCTCGCGGGAAGACGGAAAAGCCGACGGAAGATGCGGAGGACGCTCCTTGGAAGACAATCGATCTCGTTTATACGGTAGCCGCGAAAGATCGTTCATCGTCGATCTGAAGCAAAATTCGAGTGTTCGCTTTCGGTGAAGTTCGTTACGTCGGAGCAGTTGAATAATAATTCAAGCAGAGGTCACGTATATAGCTACTACTGTGCGGATTAATGTACTGATAGTAGTCGCGAAGTTCAATTTTGATCAGCGCAGTAGATAAGAGTCCGTTATACATATGAAATTATTATTCCCCGCGTATAGTCCCGGGGAATCTACACATTTCGGAGTATTAATCAATTGCATTTCTCCCCTACTATCCCGCTTTCTCACGTTCTCTCTCCTCTACGTATACTCTCTTTCGGCGTGGCCTCGCGGCGATCCGCCAATCCAGAAAAATTCGGGCAATACGCGCCCCGCTGGCGCAGTGCCAGATTTCTCATTTCTCGCGAGCTATCGTCGCGAGTTTGTCGCTTCGATGTCTTTCAGGAACTGGGTTATCGCTTACACGTGCATCCGTAACGCCACAAGAAAAAATAACAACCGGGAAAACGGGAGGATTATAGGCGATTCCGGTCGGCCGAAATAGAATCGATGATCGTCTCGTGACGAACTGGCTACCTCGAGCAAGGCTGGAGCGAGAATTCGAGCGAGTTCGTGCCTTAACTAACATTTCGCGCATGTGGAATTACGCTCCGGCAATATTCCGCAAACGTGCAGAACTCACAGTTATCGTGCTACAAAGTTCGGTATCGCGATTTTGTTGACGTTAATGAGTGCTGAATGTATATAGAGAATTATCTAGCAAAATCTAGCTTACTGCGACATAAAATATAAAATGATACAGAAATAAAATACAGCATAAATTTAAATGTAACATAGATATAATAAATTTTATTAGTATAATATAAATCGTTATATTATACAACGTAAACCAAAGAACGTGCAGGGTAAATATACATATGCACGCGCATTTCAATCTGACGGATGCTCGTTTTATACTTCGTCTTCGTTTTTTTTCACGAGCGCTTGTTTTATTGGCACAAAAGTCCACATTGTTTCCGCGAACGCGAATTATTTCCTGCCGCGAGTTATCGGTGCAAAGGTAAAACGCGAACTTTGTGCTAGATGGAACTCTCATAACACACATGGCAAAAGTCGAAAGAGAGAGACTTGTGTTTTTCTGAGATTAAAATATGCATGCGATCACCAGTTTCCTTTTACGAGTTATTTTTTAAAGAAAAATAGTTTAAGAAAAATTGCTTGAGAAATAGTCTTAAAAAATAAAAAAAAATAGAATAATGTAAAAAAATCTCGAAGGGGTATATATGTCACGCGAAACGATTTTGTGATAATTCACGTAGATTAAATAGAGATCTCTCAGGGTAAGACTTTTTTTTTAATAATTTACAATTATGACCACGCTGCAATTTCCTGTCAGTAACAAGAAATAACAGTGCGCACGGGACACTTATCAACCTGGTTAACTGTCCGAGCGGAAATTCGAGCGCCGGTGCGTCGCGAAGTGAACGAAATCGAGCCAAATAGCTGCCAAC